CCTAATAACCAGCCTGTTTCCGCAGACGACCTTGAGCTTTTTTCAGCTCCAAGATGTTTATCCTCCTCTCCTTCTCCTCCAGCTCCCTGCCAAGGCTAGATTAAAATTTACACCAGGATCCAGAGTTAAAAGCAGCCGGCATAACTTCTCTCCATTTGATCCAAGGTGATATATAAGTGGAAAACTACATAAAACCCTACACTTGAACTAACAGCATGTAATTTCTTCCATTTCACAGCACACAACCATCCTTATTGTCAAGCCATATGGAATGCTATCTTTAGTTTTGCACAAATATCCTTTTAGAAAGGATATTTCAACTTGCAGGAGAAAAGATTCTGGCTGTGAAAACTGGTGCATACCAGGCAAGAGAAATAATTGTGGGATTTTGAAAGACAAATAACTTCTTTATCCCTCTCTCTTCCCAGTATTTTGTGCAAAGCCCTTCTGGCCTTCAGTAACGCAAACTGGCTACAGCCTTTGATTTCAAACACCACATCGTAACAGCAAAAGCACAAGAAACAAATCATTGAAAAATACAGTAATTCAGTATTGTTGACATAGCTGGTTATCACACAAAAGCAGCTTTTAAAGAATAATCTTTGGCTACATCCGTGATGGCGAACCTATGGCACCCTCGTGCCGGAAGTGGCATGCAGAGCCATCTCTGCTGGCATGCGAGCCATCACACCAGCTCAGTTCCACTGCCCATGTGCACGCGCCTCCCGCCAGCCAGCTGATTTTCAGGTATCTGCTGTGCATGCGCGGGGGGCAGGGGGACCAGGGGGGCATGTGCAGGGGGTGGGGGTTGCATGGGGGTCACACGTGCACACATGCACTTTCAACACGCGATGATGAAAAGGTTAGCCATCACTGGGCTAGATGCATGCAATATCAAGGCACAAATTGTGTTGTATCAATTGCAAGAGCTAGATTCATACAATACATTAATCCAAATTAAATAAAATTTCATCTGATTGTGATACACAAATCCATATGGATTTGTATATCACAATAAGCTATAATTTTATTTAATTTGGATTAATGTATTGTATAATAACCATATAGAGCCAAAGAAAGAAGATCTGTTAGTGATTTTGGTAATCATCTTCATCACCAACAGTTAAACTTGCATGCCCCCTGGCACTCAACAACTCTGGAAGGCCCCTAATACTCAAACAAATTACAATAATATCAATAAAACTTAAAAGACAAGAAGCATGATAAAGTGAGGGATCTCCCTTCCTTTGCCCAAGGCCTGGGTGAAGAACCAGTTCTTCATGGCTTTTCTAAATAACAGAGAAGTGGGCCACATCTGGATTTCAGAAAGAACCTCATTCCAGAGAGCAGGTAAGATGGGAAGGAAAAATTAACTAGCTGCTGCTGAACCCTAGACACAAAATAGTAGCTCACTTATGTTTGTGTATATTTCAAGACACATAGTTCTTTAGCTCTCAGTAGGTTTACCGGACAATTTAAATTAAAGTATTTTAATAAACATTCTGGACTGGATATATAAAAAAGATCTCAGTTGTTTGTCTAGTTGTCTACTTATCTAGCAATTCATTATAGGATTGGAGACACAAGTTAACTCCAGCTAGCGCTATCCTCCTCTCCCTCCTCCCTTTTCTGCAGCTGTGCCCTGGAAACACCTGTCATTTGATATCTTTCTTAGCTTCTGCAAGGAATGTGAACAACCTTAAATTGTCTCTTATTAAACCCCAAACCCTCCCTAAGGGGACAGGTGGTACATTCTGAAGGGGCTGTTGATGAGGTCTCCAAAGGCTGGCAGGCACTGGTGGAATTTATTCCTCCCCTCCTCTCCCTTGTTTCTTTCTTTCTTGCTAAATGCTATGTGTCTATCTCTTTCCAAATAAAAATGAAATGCTAGAATTTAGCAAATTGAAAGGGGCTGCATTGGCAGGGCAAACTCAATCAAAATCCCTACCCTGTCAGGCAAGGCCATCTGAGAGATGAGGCTCTTAATGCAAGTGTAATGTTTGCTATTTTCTGCAAATGTAGAATGGCTACCATTTAGGGTACAGGAGAGTCAAAATGTATAATCTACAACCAGCCTGGATTTCAAATTCCATTTTTTTTGCAACCCAAAGAACAATAAATCAAGCTAAAGTACTGGTTAAGGAGCAGGGTATAAATAACAATAGTGGAGAAACTGAGCTTGTTTCTCAGATTTTCAGGCTCAATATGTTGTGTGAATTCAGCCCTGGTCTGAAGAGCAATATGGATTCTCCACGCTGTGAAAGAATGGGGAACTATAAACTTTCAGAGAATAAATAATAGGTGGAGTGGAAGCTGCATCATCTCATCTATCTAATCTTGTAATTTGGATGTTGGCTGGAGAAATACCTCAGGAAGCTTTTCCAACTCATGTTAACTCCCCCCGCCCCCCCCACACACAGAGGAAAGGTCCTGACCACTTTAGGAGGAAGTCAAGAGTGCTAATGTAACATCAGCACCCCGTGTCAGCAATGTACTCAGCACTTTTCTATGGAGATTCTCCATCATCCAGTTCATCGTTATCTCCAAGGTGCTTTTTCAAAAGGCAACTGGACTGTTTTTCCTTGAGGAAGAAGAAAACATTTCACTTCTCATCAGTTGTGATGGCAGGTGATGTGATGCCCCCCACCATCACAACTGATGAAGCTTCTTGGATGAGAAGCGAAGCTTTTTCTTCTTCTTCAAGGAAAAAGCAGACCAGTTGCCTTTTACTCAGCATTTGCTGAATAATGGTGAAAAGGATACTCTACTCTGAGGAAGTTACATTCTAAGTACAAAAGCATAAAAGAATAATCTGAAGCAAAGCAAAGACAAAAGAGGCTGTCCAGAAATCTTAATGGCAAACCTACCCTGTTTCCCACAAAAGTCTAAAAATATTCTAGCTAGAAAAATACTATCCTGAGTCAAATCATCAGTTCATCCTCTTCATTGTTCTGGGTGGCAGGATCCCTCCAAAGAGCTTCAATCCAGGATGGAATTCAACAAAGGCAGAGCTCAAAAAGCAATTGATTGATCCCTGAAGAGGCAAACTGGCCAAGGAGAAATGAGTAGCTGAACCCAGGATTAACCTGGGCTGCAAAAATCCTGATGTCTCCTAGATAATAGTCAATAATTAGGGTTTTTAAATCCCTTCCTGCCATCCAGTGAATGTCCATCCAGATCTAGTATCCTTAGATCTAAATATCCAGATTGTTACTTCTGCTTAGCCCATATTCAAGCAACCTTTCAAACTTCATGACCTCTCATGATGTTACTTAAACTCACCCCGTTCCTATAATGGGAGTTGCAGTTTTGGATTAGATACCTCATCTATTGTATGGACCAATTTTATTTCATTTAAAAAATGACAAGAAATGCCTATAGGTTTCAGCAGTATAAACCCAGGAGCTCTGGGACCAAAGACTAAGACTAAGGCTTCATTTCTGATGAAAAAGGAGGAAGCTTCTTCCCCCAACTACCCACCCAGAATGGGTTTCTAAAGATCTCCTTATAAGGCTCTGCCATTTGCTTCATCCAAGCACAGATGTCACCTCTTTGCTCAGTCCTCCTTCACCCAAAATAGACCCTGCTGCATTGCAAGGGTCTTGGAAAGGAAACACCATCAACTTTGGGGTGGAGTGTGTGTGGAGGTCTACTGCCTGCCAAAGGGCAAAAAATGCACCTCTGAAATGAAGATTAAGAATTTAAGTGGTGAGGAAAAGAGAATATCTCCATATGAAAAACTGGTCCTCACTTTCACTTTTATAGGTAAGAATTTCTATTCAAAGTCCAAATTAATTTAAAAAACAAGTGTCCTAAGGAGAATAACCTGGAATTACCCTTGGGAAAGAAAAAGCAACTTTAATAGGAGGTAAAAAGCTGCTCCTCCATGCACAGTTAATAGGTTCTAAGTTCCAAAGTTGGATTTTGTGGAGACACTCATAGTTGCTCATTATTTTGGCTCTTCCAGAGTATGGCTAGATTTACACATCATAATAAGCCATTACTCATGGTCTACAAACCCAATTTTTATCTTGCTTTACACATCACAAGAATTCATGGCTTACTTAATCTTGACTTACTGAAGAAAATAAAAATAAGCTAGCACTCAGCCTACATATCATAGGGAAACAGAAGAAAATTTTTGGAAAAGGTTGGTCCACCTATATAATCTGTGGATTTCCACTTTCCCTCTTTAGGACATTCTTCACAATAGCCTTCCTCAAGGTGGCACCTCAGGTGTGGCAAAAAAATAAAGCCCATTATTTCCAATCAACAACCATTATATCTGTGAACAATGGAAGCTGCAATTCAACACATATTGGAATGGACAACAAAATTAGGAACATGTCTTTAAAACTTAGAAGCATTCAATGTTATCAACAACTAATAGAACTTTATAAAAGGCAAAGGAAAGGAAAATAAATGAATGGTGGGCCTCTATTTGATGGGCAGAATTTCAGGAACAAAGAATCCCTATTTTTGTAAAGGTTCAGACTCAAATCAAACCACCATCAAACCCATACACAACCAGACACCCACAAGTGGATTCCCGAGGTAAATCATGTTCCAAAAACCTCCTTATAACTTATCTAGACCTTTTTTATTTGGTCACATCTGCTGAAGTTGAGAAAATATAGTTGAGATTCATACAATACATTGGGGTACACTAAACTGGACGTATCTGCATATGTAAAACAGGCTCACCTGAAACATTTAATTAGGTTCTGTTAGACAAAATTTCTGTGATTAGTCAGCATTTTTTTTCAAAGGGAAGACAGAATCTGAATTGAATAGTACAAGGAGCTTAGTTCTTTAAGTTCATTCCTATATATTCAGTGATGTAGTTAAAAATCTCCTAGAATGTCAATTTTCAGTTGTGCTCCTAGACAATGCTCATTGGTAATTTACCCCAAAGTCCTCCTTTAATGGCATCACTACATTTGTGATATTTCCTAATGGATGACACCCCTTCCCACATCCATCTTTGTTCTTGTTCTTACTTCTTTAAACTCCTGGATCTGTGTTTGTTCAAACATGGAGAAGACATTGGAGCTCCCTTCTGCTGCCCTCCTCTTTGCCTTCTTGGGTGCCTGGAAGAGAAGAAGGATGGTCATTCAAGATCAGCTCACTGCATCCTTATCTAGGGCAACCAACCCTCCCACTTTTATAGGTGAGAGTCTCTATTCAAAGTTGAAACTAGATGAATGAAAAAAAGGAGTGAACCAGTGGTACTGGGTCTACCAAGCCCTAGCACAGACATCATTGAGATACACAGGTCACCTAGTCACGGCTTCCCCTTTACGATGAAATGAATTATCCTTCAACCTAATTGTAGAACTGATTTATAGTTTAGTACCTTTCTCTCTGTAAATGTGGCATAAACCAGCACCTTTGGTCCTGTTTTGTCCTGGTGCATTTTCTTTTTTGACAATGTTTAAGCAGTCAATTCATCAGTGACACAAGAACATCTTATTAAGAAAGGATTCCCACCATGCAGTTTGTAGAGTTACTTATTTGTCAGTTTTTGCAAACATATAAATGGCTTCAGTTACAGTAGACTCTAAGCAATATAACCTGAATTTGATTATGTAAGCCATACTTGATCATTTTCAACATTTTTGTCTCCAGGGGCAGAAAACCCTACTAAATATCAGAAAATATTATTTAGCTTAGCTTAATAATTAAAACTTCCTTTAAATGGGCTTTTATGTTAGGCGTATATTTTCAAAATATTGTATTTGTTGTTTTCTGTAATACAAGGGAGGGGAGGGGTTAATCCATAAGGACAACACCAACAAACAATTTTATTGCTAAAGCAAAAGTCTGAAAACTTGGAACATTGGAGAGAAACATTAATATTCACGATTTTTTAAAAAGTGTGTACTTTGGTTTGAGAAACATCAGAAGCATCTACTCTTACTTTCAATACAAATATGGAGTTGATAAAAGTTGAATGCATCTTTTCAAAGTCTTCATTTCAGGTTTGTAACAACTAATTTCGACAAGGGTGATCTTTTCTTTTAGGCAACTATGTTGTATGTGGGTATTATAATTTTCATCTTCCCCAAAATCACTTTGCAAGTTTTTTGGGGTTTTTTTGTAAATTTTATTTGAGTTTTCACAAAGAGAAAAAAAATAAAAATAAAACATCTTTTTTGAAAGCAGCATAATCCCGGGTTACATTTCTTCGTACAGACACAAATTCAGGTTCATGCTCATTTTTATATTCTATTCCATATCTTATTACTATTTTACATTTTCTGCATAGCTTCTCCCCTCTTTTAATTTTCTCAATTTTATTTTAATTATCTCATCTCAATTCAAATCATTGTATTTATATTTTTTGTCTGTCCTGTTTCAATTATCTATTATTTTTTCTCATTAAACAAAATTTCTACTGATTGGAGTATGACGCTTTTATATCTTTTCCCTAAAGTTGTAACATTCAATATAATACATAATTTCCATTCGGATTTTGCTTGGTACATTCTTAAAATACACACTGTATTCTTAAAAAAAGAAAAAAAATATAAATGTATATAATTAAAACAGCATTCCATTCCAATTCAATTCTATCATTAATATTAATATTCATTAAAGTTTTAACATCTTTAACATTACTTTTCAATTAAATATCATACTTCTATGGGAACAATTATAAGCTTTCCATAGTTAATTCCCCCCCTTCACTTATATTTTATAAAACATTAACTAATTAAAATGTTCCCGTTCCTTCCTAATTCAATTTTATCATTTATTTTATTTCACTTATTTTATTCATAAACATTTCACTAAATTACACTAACTATTTTATCCCTCATTTTAATCATACATTGTTTCCAATTTTCTAAAGTTATTTCTATTACTAATATAAGAATACAATCTTATGTACCTTTACAGAATCCCTGTTTCAGTTAGATTTTCACCCATTATCTCTAAATAGGTCCTGTTTCTCTATATCTTGCTCTGGTCCTTTGTAACTTCTTTTCCTTTCCCTCTTCCCTCTCTTCTTCTCTCTCCCCTTTTTACCCCCTTGTCTCTCTACCTCTATTTCTCTCTTCTGTATTCCCCTTTTCTGTTGCTTTCCAGTATTATACTTATTTTTTGAATTATTTTTCTTTTCTTTGGTTGTTTTTTTAAATCTTAAATTCTTCATTCTCTTTCCCCCCTTTCCTTTTTCTTCCCCACATAGAATTACTTGTCCATTAAAGATGGCTTCTTCTTTGTCCCAGTCTTCTTGTTTTGCAGTCTTTTCTTGTTGTTTCTCATAGTTCCAAATCTCCATTTCTAAGAATTGAAAGACGAAGCCAAAAGAACCCTTCCCTTCTTGTGCATCTTCTTTGTACTTTTTAAGTTCCATTTTCAATTCATCCAGAAGTGGTGCCATTGTATAAATTTTTAAACAACCACCCGATTGATTTTAGTCATTCAAATATAATAACCAAAAATCCAAAGATCACCAAATAATCCAAATACACGCAAGCTGTTTCTTTTTTGCTCTTTTTTTTCACTTTCTCTTCCTGGGGTTACTATTTAGTTGCAAAGTTTCAGTTAAAATGTATCTTTTAGAAGTCTTGTTGAAGTTTTACTTTAGATTCTTTTTAATTCCAGGCAGTCTCCTCCCTCTTCCAGATCCTGCCCTTATTCTTTTTCTCTCCCTTCCTGCTTATGAAAAAGAAAGTTTTTAATGTCCAGAAATCTTTATTATCCCTTTGGCATTTTGTTTTATTTTCAGCTTAATTGCCTATTGATGTCAAAGAGGATTTTTTCGATTTCTTATTTAAGTCTCTTAATTGTCAGTATAGGGAAGGAGAGAGAAGGAAAAAAAAAAGTCAAACCTTTCCCTTTTCACTTTCCTTCGCTGCTTCCGACTCTTCTTTGGGAGTGATGTTATTTTTTGTAAGTTTAAATTCCAGGGTACCTTGGTTGTTGCTTTTACAATTTAGCCCGGTCAGCCAAAACTTTCACTTCTTATCTTCCTCCTGCACATTCTTTTCTGGTCGAGTTCTTCTTTGTGGTGGCCATTTCTGACCACCACTGCAACCGCCTTTGGGAAAGGGAGTAATGGCCAGCTGAGGAGGAGAGATGTGGCTCTCCTCGACCCTGCTGGCATTCTCCCCCCTCTTCACCACCTCTACGGGGTGGCTTAGCCCCGAAACCAGCCGGCTCGGGGTGCTCCAGCGGCGAGCCCAGACAGAAACCGTGCACGATTGCAGATTTCTGTCTGTCATCAAAGCCCTTCAAACCGGAAGTCCTAAAATCACTTTGCAAGTTTTAAGTTAACAATATATAAGTAATTAATTGATAGAATAGAATAACAGAGTTGGAAGGGACCTTGGAGGTCTTCTAGTCCAACCCCCTGTTTAGGCAGGAAACCCTACTCCACTTCAGACAAATGGTTGTCCAATCTCTTCTTAAAAACTTCCAGTGTTGGAGAATTTACAACTTCTGGAGGCAAGTTGTTCCACTGATTAATTGTTCCTACTGTTAGGAAATTTCTCCTTAGTTCTAAGTTGCTTCTATCCTTGATTAGTTTCCACCCATTTTTTCTTGTCCTGTTTGACTCCCTCTTCTTTGTGGCAGCCCAAGATATTGGAACACTGCTATCATGTCTCCCCTAGTCCTTCTTTTCATCAAACTAGACATACCCATTTCCAGCAACTGTTCTTCATGTGTTTTAGCCTCCAGTCCCCTAATCATCTTTGTTGCTCTCCTCTGCACTCTTTCTAGAGTCTCAACATCTTTTTTACATAATGGTGACAAAAACTGGATGCAGTATTCCAAGTATGGCCTTACCAAGGCATTATAAAGTGGTTTTAACACTTCATGTGATCTTGATTCTATCCCTCTGTTTATGCAACCTAGAACTGTGTTGGCTTTTTTGGCAGCTGCAGCACAGTGTATTTAATAAACGGGGTCCTTTTGGGTGGGCATGGCTTTTTTTTCAGCCCCCACCCATTTTTGGGGCCTTCTGGACCTCAGAGGAGCTTCTGGGGAGGCGTTTTTGCTCCCCTAAGGCTCCTCTGAGACTCAGGAAGAAAAAAAACAGAGCGTGGGAGAGGCACGTAGCACCCCTCCACACTCCATTTTGGGAGCTTCCTGGCCTCAGAAGAGCCTTGGGGGGGGGCATTTTTGCTCCCCTAAAGCTCCTCTGAAGCTCAGGAAGGCAAAAAATGGGGGGAGGGGGGCTAAGCCATTTTTTGCCTTCCTGGGTCTCAGCAAGGGGAATCCTGGCACAGCTGATCTATGTACAGCTGATTGTCAGGAGGAAACAAAAAGAAAGAAATACCTTAGGCGAATGTCAGAGGGGTAGGGTGAGTGAGCATCAGGCAGGAGGGCGACCGGGTCGGGGGCGTGGCCAGCCAGAAATTACTACCGGTTCGGCGACCCACACCAAATTCTTGCTACCGGTTCGCCCGATGAGGTGCGAACCAGCTGAATACCACCACTGTGGTGTACCTAATAGAAAAGAAGGGAAGGGGCGGACTATATCCAATACAGTCATATAAATAACTCCAGCTCGTTTTGCAAATCTAATCCATACATGAAAAGAAAAACATAAAATGAAAATGTCTCCTTTTGAACAAAGTTATTTTACATATAGAATATAGTATAGGATTATGATCTACATCACAGGAAGTTATTTAGAATGACTGATTTTCTGGAGATAACTTCAAAAATCTCCTTTCTGTCTTCAGAGTGGCTCTTTCTTGATCCTCAACTCCTGAAAACTGATATGCATGTTACTTCTGGGAAGAGATGAAGTTGGGAAAGGGATGGCAAGGCAAAAATGGAATGAGAACCTGAAGATCCAGACAATCTAAGTGGGTCTCTTTCATGAATTGAGCCAGAGCAAAAGTAAGAGCTTTGGGCTATTGGCTAGAGATAATAGATGCATCTTAGTCCTCGAATCACACTCAGTTGGCCAGAACCTCAATAAAAACCCAGTAAAAAATTTGGAAACCCTTATAACAAGGCACAGGGGCATGGCTAGAGATGATGGGATTGTAGGTTGGAGGCCTCAGGTGAAGAAAGCTAACATATGCTGACAAACTAATCTTTTAGCATCAAGAAATGAGGGTCTGAGAGATTCAACAGTTCAAACTATTGCAGG